CGTCCTTCACCTCGCCGTACTCCGAGAAAGCCTTGCGAATGGTGTCGTTGGACACCTCGAACGCCACCCAGTGCAAACTGATGCGCACCTCTTGCCTGGAGGGGTCTACGACGATGCAGGTGCGTCCTTTGACAGCGAGTTGCCCTGCGTTCACCAAGAGCTTGGCCGCGTCGGTCCTGGGGTCAAGCAGCCAGACATGGGACATCTGATACGCCCCGATTCCGGCTACCTCCCTGAGGACCCCCACTTCGTCGAGCGGTTGCCGGAAATCCTCAATCCTGTATGGCCTTCCGGCCATGTCGCAGTGAAAGACGACCGCTTTCTTCATTGAATCACCTGATGGAAGCTGGGGCGGCCGGCAAGGGCCGTTATCGCCGCTCCCTCGGAGTTCATGATTCCACCTCTTCGCGCTCGGGCGTTCGAAAATGGAATGTCTCGGCCACCGATCCCCCGGTAATTTTGGAAGAATAGTGACGGACCACATCTGAAAATTAAATGAGGTACATTTTATTCGGTGTCACATTGATGTGTGCCACAAAGTGAACATCACTTAGACCATTCGAGAATAAATAGTTCTGTATCCTATTCCGCCTTAATCCTAATGCTCCGCAAACAATAAACATGTTTAGAAAGAGAAATTAACGATTTAAAAAGTCAATCAGCTCTCACAGAATTTTAACTTTGAACGCATTGAACATTTTACGCTGTTAGCATTTTCCTGCTTAATTTATAAGTGAGTTTAATCAAAATAAAGATCATTTCAAGGACACGAGATATATAGTCCTCCAATAAATTAAAATAGGAAAGAAATCTAAGCGCATTAACCTCTTTCCAAAAATAAAATGTATATTACACATTTCACTACTAATTTCTATAGCCACAAATGACTGCACGGCTTCGCGTTTTGGTATTGGCGCTCATTGTTACATATGGCTATGGGCTTGCATACATACATATTATGATATCGCTTGGGGCTTTTAGAGAACTACTTTTGCCTTCTGTACTTGATTAATACATTTTAAATTGGCGTCTTTTTTCGTTGAAGTGGGTTTTCGTCTTGAAATGTTAAGAACTATATCTGCATTTTGCAAAGAAAGAAGGCCGTAAAACATCGTCTATTTTTAAAGTTTCTTTGCGTGCGGCAGGGACAAAGACAGTAATTACAAGAATAACGTAAAAACACATTCGTTTCAATAAGGTATCAACTAGTCTGAACTGTTACATAATACACAGCCAAGCAAGAGCCATATAAAACAACGCTAAAAGATGCCCGTAAAAAAAAAAAGAAAAAGAAGACGGCTCGTGCATTCAGTTGTCGCAGGATGAGTTTGGCGCAGTTGATTCCTTCCGATTTAGCCAAGTCACTGTACCTGGCACGGACCTCGCCGGTCCAGGAAAAAGCGACAATAGAAAGGGTTTATAATCTCGATAAACATGGTACGACAAGTCCGCGGACCTATTTCATGACGTTTACCCACATGATCACTCTAAAAAAAAAGGGTATCACCATACACCCTTTTGTCCCATATAATACACCCCAAAATTTCATTTCGACGTACAGCGCCCTATAGTCGAACAAACGGCCCCAAATTTTACCAGGGGCTTGATAACGGTGCGATATAACTTATTAAATTGCTAAAGTACGTATCAAAGACCAAAGAAAAACAACACGGAGCTTTTGCAGTACTGCCAAGAAAACTCCGATAATCTTTTTTGTAGTCAATAATACGTAGATCAGCTATCTTAATAAGTTGTACCACACGGCTATCAAGCCCCTCGTAAACTTTGGGGCCGCCTGTTCGATTATGGGGCGCTGTACGTCGAATTGAAGTTTTGGGGTGTATTATATGGGACAAGGGGTGTAATAATACACCTTTTTTTCTGAGAGTGATACACAACATTCCACAGGTCCGTGGACTTGTCGCCGGACACGTTCGTATGGTCCGCGAACTATAGTTCTTTAGTTTTGCATGCCTTTTTCTTTTTCGCCTGGAACACGGCGGATTTCGAACCGCAGAAAATATGACGTCACCGATTTTGTAGAAACTTGTCTGGGGGACAAGTCCTCTGTATGAATAGACCGTCCTTAACACAGACATTTCCCTTCTTCTTTATATGAAACGCTTCCTTCAGCTCTCTCGCTGTAGATCTTTTACTCCCCGGGATCTTGGTCTCGGGAAGTCCACAACGTATGGGATTTCTCTAGTTTCTTAATGTGTTCTTAACGTTTTTCTCAATTTGTAGAATGCTGCGCATGCTCTCTATGAAACTTTCGCAGTCGCTTAACCTCGGAGAAATCTAGTTGAAGATTGCGCTTGTCCTTGTCCACTCCTTCGTGTTTGTCCTGCGCATGCTAACACAGGACTAACATTGGTTTATCATTGATTTAACACCGATTCACTTGATCTTCGCCTAACCAGTTGGCAACTATATCATGATTGCCATAAAACGGACTCGCGATAAAACTTAGTAGGTTAATAAAAAAAAATATATCAGAATGTGCTTAATGTGACTAGAACGCCAATATCAGGGTGTATCTATAAACCACCAGGCTGCGCTGACGTCACGTTGCTGCCTGGTGGTTTATAAAAGAGGAAAGTTCTTAGGCTATAGTGGAGTTACGGAAGAGCAGGTCTCAGTTAAGGAGAAAGTTAAGGCCACAGAAAGAGATCGGTGGCTTGAGGGAATGCAGACAAAGACGGCTCTGGAAAGCTAGAGATTAAACAAAACAGCTATTGCCAAAAAAATAAATAATTATGACAATTCTATTCAATTCAATTCAATTCTAGGGCAAGCTCATTGTTGTTTGAGGCAAGGACAGCTGTTTTGCGAACCAGAACATGCAGAGCGAAGTACCAGGAAATGGATACAGTGTGCGCTGCTTATGTAGAGGAGGACGAGGCGGCTGAGCACTTAATACTCTACTGTAAAGGGCTTCACCCTATGCCTACCGAAGACAACATAGATTTAATTAAGTCAATGGGTTTTAGAGACAGCGAAGGAAAAGTGGACTCCAAGACAGTAGAGATTACCAGGCGAAGATTAAGTGAATGGTGGGAGAAAGCGAGAAAACTAGGCATTTTTTATTAACTAATGGCAAGGGGGTTTTATTGCTTCACTTTCTGTTCAATGCGAAGTGAATATAGTTTTCACATTTAAATATTCTGAGCTGAAATGGTAAAACAAAATGGCTAGGTGGCGTGAGCTACCGCCCGATCCAAAGGGCTCAGCCGGATTCATACATCCATCCATGCGGTGGCGCAACTATTGGCAGGGCGCATTCGCAGACGCTCCACTTGACGGGAATCTAATTCGTGCGTACGCGCAGTGGCCACACCTCGTGCTAAAACTGCGCTTCTGCCAACACCTCGTGAGGGCGTGTTTGTAAACATCGCTTTGGCCTAGAACCTCGGAGTGCAATCCTACTTTTCACTAAAGAAACGTAGCTCCTCTGAGACTTGGGAAAGCTCTGGGGCTAATTACCCGGATGAGCCTTACCACACCAGACAACTACAGACATAATAAAAATGTGCCATTAACAGGGACGCAAACAGGGACGGATCTATGGGCCAGGCTTAAGGTGAGGTGTCTCCTGGGAGATCTGGCGTCCCGGACGGATATGAAGTCACGGGCGAAGCATCGCCCATATATATATATATTTTTTTTTTCCCCTATTGATTGCCATCTTATTCAAAACTAAGCATTTCTTGCTAAAAAAGTTGATTAAAAGAGTCGTCCTTGGGAGGCTTAACGCCTCCCCCTTCCCCCCCCCCCCCCCCCCCCCCCCCCCCTCAGATTCGCCTTTGGCCATATATCGTCGTTGGCTCGGCCCCTCAATCGCAATCGCATCGTTAGGACTAACCGACCACATCGGCGCCGACGGCACAAATAAGTCCGGTTAATCCAGCGGCACACAAACCCAATCTCAGGGACGACCGTTCCGGACTTCTCTTCTTTCCCGCCACCGCCGTTGCCTCCTCGTGCCGTGGCGGCTTCGTCGGAGCGGATCTTCTAATTGAAGTGCCTACTAATGGAGGTTTCCCCCTTCCTGCAAACGAGGACAGATGGACCCAGGCCACCGACGGCCTCCGGGACAAATGTCTGGGCGTCAGCAGCCGCGACCTGGCCATCAATTAGATGACTTGGTGCAACCAGATTCCTGCTGTACCCCCGGAGAGATGTTTACGGGTCGTGTTCCCGCAACAACAACAACGTCGACACCATGAACAAGATATAAAACGACAAGATGTACAAAGCAAGAACCATAACAACGAGATGTCCAACAACAAGAGATATAAGAAAACAGAATCTACAACAACAAGATCTACAACAGGAAGGTCTACAAGACCTACGACAACAACATCTACAACAGCGAGATCTACAACACGATCTACAACAAGACCTACAACAAATACATCTACAACAACGTCTACAAAATCTAGAACATTACTTACAACAACAAGAACAACACGGGCAAACAGTGACAAGACAAGGGACCGCGAGACATGCTTGTGCGTCACCGATTCGACCATCAGTCTCCGGTCATTTCGCGTCGGCTCCCCGTAATCGCATTCCGAGCGACCCGATGAATTTGCGACGCTCCTTGGCGACAGCTCATTTAGCCGCGTGGTTCCGGATGCGTCTCCGACGGCTGCTCGCCGGGTTTCAGGAAGGAATACATTGGCGTCGTCGCCGCTTAGGCGACCGCGAAGCTGAAGCTATTAGCGGAACCATTTGCGAGTCGCCGGAACAAGAAAGAAACGATCAGCACAAAACGTTCCCCAAAGAACGAAACGCAGTTGAAATATAACCACGAACACTGAGGGCGGGTCAAGTTGCCTGTAAACAATGCGCAAACAACAACATCAACAACAACGGTTGCACAAAAATTAATAAAAGGAAATTATCTTTTGATGTTATTGCTGTCTGTTCTTGTTAGCCAAGCTTCACTAGACAGGAATTCAACGAACGCTACCTGCGAGCTTGATTAAATAAATAAGATGTGTTTAAGAGCAAGCACTTTTGGCAAAAAGAAACATTTGCTTTTCAAATACCTGGTGATCAGGTATTTGGGTCAGGTATACAGGGGGCATCAGGGGGTCAGGTATACAGGGGATCAGGTATACAGGGGGCATCTACACAAGTAAAAAACAAAGCGTTTTTTTTTATTTGGCAAATCCGTTAATGTACTTTAACATCTGACCCTCGTCAAAAGGGCTGCACCTTCGTTTTTAAAGGGCAACAATGCTTTTAGAGGGACAATTTTCGTTGAACGAGAAATCGAAAAATAACACAGCATAATCTATAGGGACGCCAACATATCAAAGGAAAAAAAAAAAAAAAAGAACGCCTTTGATGAAAAAAAAAAGAAACAAAAAGAAAACTTACGCTTTGTTTTTTTTTTACCTAAGAAAAGGGATTGGGTCCCCCTTAATCGGGCCAAATAGAATCTTACCTTCCTCCAGAATAAAGATTCAAACACAACACTAACATGATGCACGACGCATGCTCGCTACAGTACCATGAAAACTGGGGAAATACTTAACCAACCACCTCTCCAGTGGTCGAACTCACGGTAACATACATCACAGTAGCTAGGCGAAACTGCCCGGTAACCAAACATTTGAACCCACTAGGCTCTCCTGCAGCCTACCGTCTTACCCAACCAAGGTTGCACCACAGGACACGTCTTGGCGACAAATCGTCCGGATGACTCACGCCGCCCTTCTGGCTCGCTGCAATGAAGCGACGCTGCAGAGTCACGGGTCATTTGACGTGCGTCGGAGAAGGCCCGTGTTTGTTTGCGTCTCTCGACGCACTGTACGCCTCGGAGCGGCTGTGTTTCTCGCGGAGATAAATCGGGCGTCGCGCGACGCGTTCGTCGCTAAGTGGTACGTCCGCATGCCTGTCCGGGCACATTACGAGCTCGCCGACGTCAAAATATCGCCGGGCTCCCCAGTTGGAACCTCTGCTCAGGGACGCGCGCCACTGGGCACTCGCTGCCGGATTCGGGGGGTTCTCAATGTTCTTTGTTGTTCTCGTTTCTTCCGATTGTGCCGCTTTCGGTTTAATCGGGGCCGTAGCGTTGCAGCGTAGACCACCGGTTAATATGAACATAGGGGGCCATGAACAACATGCCTATAGTCGCAAACAGTTTCAAAACTACAGAAGGCTTTCGTTAACTTCCATTTGGTTTTTAATTGTACTATCGGGTATTTCAACGATTTTAATTAAAGTTCGATGTTAATAGGGTTATCGGGACTAGGCACAAAGTGATGTTCTTAAGATATCACTAATTGTTATTTTCTCACTCATTTCGCTCAAAAGACTTCGTTCTTCACCATAAACAAAAAAACAAAAAATGCAAGAACCTTAAAAAAAGTTGTTCATCAAGTTTTATGTTTTGCTCAGAGTAAGAAAAAATACTTAGGCTAAATGCGCTTAAACAAAATACGCAAAAAAAAAAAGAAAAAAAAGAAAAAAAGAAGCGCAGACGAATTGAAAGCGAGAATCACGATTTTTCTCGCCTCACTGGTCGGTCAGCCCATCTCTTATTTATTGAAGCTATTACGCACATTTTCCCGGCTTGTTCACCGCTGACTCCCTCTCCTCCCTAATTCCCTTATAACGTGGGACATTAAAAAGGCGAGGCGCGAGGAAGCGTGCACTTCAAATGGCTCCTCCTTGGGGAGCGCGAAAGAGGGGGCGTGGCTCCCGTCTGGAGGCCATCTTTGTTGATGTTTTGTGTTATTGTGTGCGCTTCATTGTCTGAGCGCTGGTTTAAACCCCCGCTCGTATCTTTGTGTGCCGTAGAGAGGGTACCGTCCCGCGCCGATGGACACGAGGCACTAGAAGTGGGGAGACAGGCGCGTCGTTCTCAATGTTGAAACGATATATGGGGTTCGTTTTTCTTTTTAAATTATTGTTGTTTGACGTTTGGTCATCTGAGTTTTCACTGCTTAAACGTGTCATTCCTAATCGAATGCATGAGAAGACGGTGAATAAAATTAGAAACATACGTCAAACTTGTTTTTACTCGAAATTTGAGACTCGTACAACCGTTGAAGGAAAGTTTATTCAAATTTAAATAAAAAAAACGAAATGTCTGCTGCTCTTGTTGATGTTTATATATATATATATATATATATATATATATATATATATATATATATATATATATATATATATATATATATATATATATATATATGTATATATATATATATATAATGTTACGTACGTCGAGAGATTGTAGCCTTTCTCTGCGAAATAAAAAAAAAAGCTGAAATAAAGTATAAACTCACCATTAAAAAAAACAAAAAAAAAACGCAACAATATTATGGTGTACTTGGTTGCCATTTTAGCCAGCGGGATTAGTTATAGGAAGAGCGAGTAAAAAGTAAAGCGAATTTGCTGCTCTAATAATGTGAGCATGTTTGATTAAAATCACCCAATTTTTGTGATTCTCCGTCACAGATTTCAGCGAGGCAGTCATAGAAATAGATTGTTCTGGACAGTTCAAGATCCCGAAAATGTCCCATACTTTACTCAAGCGAAGGCATTTCTTAGACGTTATTATGGCCACTCTAAAATAAATAAATAAATAAATAAATAAATAAATAAATAAATAAATAAATAAATAAATAAAATAAATATATATATATATATTTTTTTTAAACCACCGAATATTGCATTAACGCTTTGTTATCAGCGTGTCGTCAAAAGAAACAATTGGACCATAAAGTTTAGGATTCATGCTGCTAGTTCCCAACCTGTTTTGAGTACGCCATCTCAAGATGACAAAATACGCTTACACGTCCTATAGGCTTCTGCATGACACACCCATTAAATATGTTTTCCTTCCGAAAGACACAGCGAGTGATTCCACTCCAACAACTCCAACTCTCGTCTTAAGTCGACGTCGCTCTGCGACTCGAAGGCTCGATTTGGCCGCATGTCGACTTGGGCATTGTCGATTGGTCGACGCCACGGACGTTAGGCCTAATGCTCCTCTTCCCGAATCTCGTCCGTTGCACCGAAGACAAATCTTGCCAACTCTTTCTTGCCGCCCTTTTCGGTCTGTGGCCATGTTCTGCAACAAAAACGGCGGCGAAAAAGAAACAATAATGAAAGAGGAAAAACACGCGCGAGGCTTGTCACATCGAATGCCGCTAAAGTGGTTTTCCTGCCGGTGGAGTTCGCGGCAGCACTTAGGGGATTCTGACGAGGTTGGGCGTGTTCCCGGAAAGAATTCCCCATTTGAAGCTTACACTCAGCGCGATTTTCTGCCTCATCCGCTCTCTTCTGCTTCTCCCAACTTGACGAATTTATATCCTTCTAAGCGTGTTTTCCTTGAAGTTCCATATGCAAAACGTCTTGTTTCGAACATTCCGAAAACTGAATCGCAAATACGAAGCCTTTTAGGGAGATGTGACGTGAAGCTTTTGCTCGCGTAGCAGACGTAATCTGCAATCGGCGTACATCTCTATGGATAGCGTTCTGTTGGCATTCCCGTACTCTTGACGAAGGTGAGCATTATGCCGTATTTACTCGAGTAACAGCCGCACTATTTATGAGCAAGGCCCTTGCGTCTACTTTCCCGGAGAACAGATATACAGCCAATCATCGCGTTGCGCATCAATAACAAGCGAATAACTAGATCAAGAACACAAGTCTCCATGCAAATGCAACCTTCACAGATGGAATCTTCGCGTGAAGAAGTTATCTCTGTCCTGTAAACAGCTGCAATCATGCTGTTGATCGCGGTGATTGGCAATCCGCCTGCGCCACGGAAAAGCGAACCCTCAGGTTTTCTTCGTAGACTGTACGGCTATTATTCGAGAAAATACGGTAGGTTAACAATCTATCCACCGAAAATCTCCGCTTTTTTTAAACGTTATTTTGTGTACATGGTTCCACTGTAAGCCACAGGTTGACAGGTCTGGTTACATAAAGGCGAGTGTATAAGGAGAGGGAGAGCTTTCGTAGACCTCGTTTCCCCCTCTGCTAAGCCCTCTGCAACGAGGAAGTCGCTACCGCGCCTGCGCGCCGATGGCCTTGACTCTAGAGTTGCATTGGGTTGGGGAGAGCGTTGCCGTTTACACATCGGTTGGAATATTCGAACCCTTTTTTTTTTCTCTTCTTTTTTATAATTTTGAGACGTCTTTACAACTTGCGTACGATAATTTTTTTTTTTATAATATTGTCCAATGAGAACCAAATTTTGCATGGTTAAGCTTGAAGATACGTAGAATGCAACAATGAAGATTTAATTAGAAAGTACATTTTAATATTTATGAAAACTTTAACAAGCATTTGTTAGCCATTTAGAAGTGGTATTCTTGCGATTTTCTTTTATTTCGAAATAAAAGAGCTCTCGTACGCATTACTTTTGTTGCCGATTGCACCCGGTGCTTTGTAAGGACCGAACTAGCCTATTTTACTATACTCCGTATCATACTTAAAAGGTCATGAAACGATATGGGGTTGGAATGTTCATGATTTTGGATTATTTTTGCGGGAAAGTTTTGATTTTGGTTGTCTTAGTAAAACTGGTCTGATATCAAGGGACGACATAAATCGTGATTTATATTATGCTCTAAATCGTTTTGATTTTTATACTCCTTCCGGACCAATGTATACTTTCTGGTGCAAGCTGAATTCTTTTCCTTTTTTTGACCGGAACCGACCGACCAACTTGACGACTGAACACAATAAGCTATCCAACCTCACCATCTCACCGAATCACCAATTGCAAACGCAACAAAACATACGCCTATATCGCTTGCCGCTCGATACAACGCGGAAGAGCCAACGACCGATGAACGAAAATTCGAACCGAAACCACTTTAAAAGGAATAGAGAGAACCGATACAATCGCGAACACACAGAATCCCTACCAATACGCGCGTGTCAAAGGAAAGGGAGGGAAAAGAAAACGGCCCGCTCTCCCTAAAAGGGCGCGGGTCATCGTTCATCCCGTTTTCACGCAAACTTACGCCGAAGGCCGCCACTTGGCCACGTCCATTTCACTCGCCAGATATAGATATCGGCTCCCATTACGGA